CCTACTGCAAGGGATCAAAGAGGTGGTCACGAGGGTGGGGGCACCCCCCTAGGGCGCGCCCCTGCCTCATGGGCCCCTCGGTGCTCCACCGACGTACTCCTTCCTCCTATATATACACACGTACCCCCAAACGATCAGAAAAGGAGCCAAAAACCTAATTCCACCGCCGCAACTTTCTGTATCCATGAGATCCCATCTTGGGGCCTGTTCCAGAGCTCCGCCGGAAGAGGGTCGTCATCACGGAGGGCTTCTACATCATCCTAGCCCCTCCGATGAAGTGTGAGTAGTTTACCTCAGACCTTCGGGTCCATAGTTAGTAGCTAGATAGCTTCTTCTCTCTCTTTGAATCTCAATACAAAGTTCTCCCCCTCTCTCATGGAGATCTATTCGATGTAATCTTCTTTTTGCGGTGTGTTTGTTGAGACCGATGAATTGTGGGTTTATGATCAAGTCTATCTATGAATAATATTTGAATCTTCTCTGAATTCTTTTATCCATGATTGGTTATCTTTGCAAGTCTCTTTGAATTATCCGTTTGGTTTGGCCAACTAGATTGGTAGTTATTGCCATGGGAGAAGTGCTTAGCTTTGGGTTCGATCTTGCGGTGTCCTTACCCAGTGACAAAAGGGGCAGCAAGGCACGTATTGTATCGTTGCCATCGAGGATAACAAGATGGGGTTTATTTCATATTGCATGAATTTATCTCTCTACATCATGTCATCTTGCTTAAGGCGTTACTCTATTTTTAACTTAATACTCTAGATGCATGCTGGATAGCGGTCGATGAGTGGAGTAATAGTAGTACATGCAGAATTGTTTCGATCTACTTGTCACGGACGTGATGCCTATATACATGATCATGCCTAGATATTCTCATAATTATGCACAATTCTATCAATTGCTCAACAGTAATTTGTTCACCCACCGTAGAATACTTATGCTCTTGAGAGAAGCCACTAGTGAAACCTATGGCCCCCGGGTCTATTCTCATCATATCAATCTCCATCACTTTTATATTGTTTTGCTATTTACTTTGCCTTTACTTTTTACTTTGCATCTTTATATCAAAAATAACAAAAATATTATATCTATCAGATCTCACTCTCATAAGTGACCGTGAAGGGCTTGACAACCCCTAATCGCGTTGGTTGCGAGTAGCTATCACTTTGTGCAGGTACGAGGGACTTGAGCGTGGGCTCCACTAGATTAATACCTTGGTTCTCAAAAACTGAGGGAAATACTTACGCTACTCTGCTGCATCATCCCTTCCCCTTCGGGGAAACCAACGCAAGCTCAAGACGTAGCACTCTAGGGCATATTTCCTTCAATGACAAAGGAAACAACGTATGTTGTCATAATGGTTTGACCGATAAAGATCTTCGTAGAATATGTGGGAACCAATATGAGAATCCAGGTTCCGCTATTGATTATTGAACGGAGAGGTGTCTCGGTCATGTCTACATAGTTCTCAAACCCGTAGGGTCCACACGCTTAACGTTCGATGACGATTTGTATTATATGAGTTATGTGATTTGGTGACCGAATGTTGTTCGGAGTCCAGGATGAGATCACGGACATGACGAGGAGTCTTGAAATGGTCGAGAGGTAAAGATTCATATATAGGGCTATAGTATTTGGACACCGGAAGTGTTTCGGGGGTACCGGGTACGTATCGGGTCACTGGAAAGGTTTCCGGGTACCCCCAGGCAAAGATATAGGCCTTATTGGGCCAAGGGCGGGACAGACCAGCCCCTAGTGAGCTGGTGCGCCCCATATGCGCCAGCCTAAGTGGAGAAAGGAAAAGGGGAGGAGGAAAGGAAATGGAGGGAATAGGATCCCCCCCTTCCTTTCCCCTCTCCCTCTTCCCTTTCCCCCTCCGGAGAAAAGGAAAGGGGGAGGCTGAATTGGAGGAGGCCCCCAAGTAGGATTCCTCCTACTTGGGGCGCCCCATGGCTGCCCCCTCCCCTCCCATATATATGTGTGGGGGGGAGGGGGCGCCTAGAACACACAACAAACATTGTTAGCCGTGTGCGGCGCCCCCTTCACAGTTTATGCCTTCGGTCATATTCACATAGTGCTTAGGCGAAACCTTGCGCGGATCATTTCACCATCACCGTCACCACGCATTCGTGCTGACGGAACTCTCCCTCGACACTTTGCTGGATCAAGAGTTCGAGGGACGTCATCGAGCTGAACGTGTGCAGAACTCGAAGGTGACGTACGTTCGGTACTTGATCGGTCGGAATGAGAAGAAGTTCGACTACATCAATCGCGTTCAAACTCCTCCGCTTTCGGTCTACGAGGGTACGTGGACACACTCTCCCCCTCCTGTTGCTATGCATCTCCTAGATAGATCTTGCGTGATCGTAGGATTTTTTTTTTAAATTGCATACTACGTTTCCCAACAAGAGATTATCTTATGACACATGGGTTATGCCTAAATACTATTTTTTTCTTAGTCTCAAACATATCATATATGGACATGCGACCGAGTGAATCTCGTCAAATATTTATATGACATTGGATTTCAAGTGCATGAGAATATTTTTTATAAAGTTTCATTTCACATGTATTAGTGCTAACACCATATAGCAACATCGTGCCCATGCATAGCATAACCAAATAAAGCATGGTGATTTCTTCTCGCTTGTATTATCACCAACATAGCATAAATTATATGCTCGTAGTGTAACCAAACAAAAGTATATATCAATTTGTATTTTGCATGGACATGATGGGTCAATGAAAATTTTCATTTCAAGTTTAGCTATATAGGACTAAACTATGTATGTTTCATTATCATATCTATTTTGGACATTTCCATCTTATAAACGCACTATGTTATATCTAGTGCAAATCGGTATAGGGAAATTCATCTACCATTTAGTTTAGCCGATACATGCATTCATATGAAAGGAACACGTAAGTAGTCTGACTAATTTCTCGATCAAGGCAACACAAATAATGTTTTGCATGGCCTTATTTCACATGCATATCTACTAGTATCTAACCACTATGCCTACTAGTATCTAATTAGAATGCATGCTACTTTGAAGTTTGAGAATATTTTAAGAATACATGGTCGTGTGCATTGATTTTACCAAGATTAGACCCTATACCGATCAAGGTTGTTAATTAGGTAAATATGACATACCAACATTATTGGTATTTGCTTCACAGCTAGCATCTGATGATGCAACAATTACCTCACATATTTCATATGTGAACTATATGGAGAAAATCGAGTTTGTTTTCTAACGGCATGAATTTCATTTGTATTCTTGATTTGTATCAACATGAAGATGCAAGATCACTATGAGACCAAACAAGAAGAACTATATTTTATTCTTGAATTGTATCCACATGAGATGCAAGATCCCATGAGACCAAACAAGTAACATATTTTTATTCTTGAGTTGTATCAACATGGGATGCAAGATCACCATGAGACCAAAACAAGAAGAATTTTGTGGGCAAAACCGAACATATATGAGATATGTGGTGAAAATAAAGCATCGTCGATGGATATATTTTAGTCTTGAATTGTATCAACATGAGATGCAAGATCACCATGACACCAAAACAAGAAGGAACATAATTTATTTATTTTTGGTCTTGACTTATATCAACGTGGGATACAAGATCACCCAAAGAAAAAGAATTCTGATTGCACATGTGCACTTAGGACTAAAGATCGGTATATGACCAGATTAGCCATTTCATCTATTATCTTGATTTGTATCAACATGGGATCATGATCACCATGAGACCAAATCAAGAACAAATTACTTTGATAGCACCGAAGATATATGATGAGGTGTACGGTGAAAACAAAGCAGGATCCATCAAGAGGTGAAGGAAAATATAGCCATGAATTCTCACCTTTCCTTGGGTGCCCTCATGTAGTGTGAAGAAGTGGTGCGATGGGCAGCCGTCGGTATGTGAAGTCGGACGGCCGGAAGCGAGCGGTGCGGATGACGACGTGTGTGCAGTCAACGATGAGAGGCACGCCGGAGGCGATAACGACGAGCGAACGGCGCGAACGAACGGCCGGCACGATGGCAGCGACGACAACGAACAAACGGCCGGTGGCGGCAGTGACGACGACGAACGAACGGTCGGCCGGCACGGCAGTAGCGATGACGATGAACGAATGGCCGGCAGCGTGGTTGCAGGCTAGCTGTTTGGAGTGTATGTAGATGCGGGAGCGATGGATGGATGAATGATCGATGATGAGCAGCCAAAATACACTGTCCGGGCAGATATATATAGGAGCGGGGACAACAGCGGGAGGCCTCCGGCTGGGCGCACGCACGTCGTGTGATCGTGGGAGCTTTGCCCGCGTTCTTTGGATCGTGTGAGGACTTGACTGAGCTGACCTTTTATGCGATCAGCTTCCCTCTGATCTCTCTAATGGACTTCAAAAGTTTGATTGGATGGCCCAGCTGATTATAAGACTAGCCATAGTGGGAGTAACTTTAACAGTAACTTCGAGTCTAACTCGAGATTTTTTACGGTGCATCATACTACCCAATATAATGAGTAGTATTAAATTAATCCAACGGTCTTGGTAATTCCTTATCAGGGGTAAATCTATCCTTTGAGATTTAACTGTAATGATTAGTTAACTAATTAAAATATGATCATCTAATTAATTACAATCATCCTAGCGGACAGGCCGTCGTCGCCAAGCTCCGCCATACCGACGTGGCCAATAATCGCCGCCGACTCAGCATGCACGGCGCAGCCCAAAACCTTCGCCATCCTAATGCCCAAAGCCGTTTGCAAGCCGCCGCCTCCCACAACCTCCGCCGTCCCGACGTACGCTGCCTGCTCTCCTCTCGGCGCGCATATCAGAAGATCCGCTGGTTGAAGTGTCAAGCCTATGTCGCCACTGGATTGATTCGTTGAGTATTTCATCACTAATCCATCACCAATCCACCACGCACACTACTAATCCCGCAAGCACACACACACACATTCAAAACTAGCTAGCACAGATGCGCACCATCCATCAGCAGGCACACACATCTAACAGTGGAGAGAGAGGTGAAGGACCGAACTATCTACACGAGGGAGAGGAAGTCGTTGACTTGACGACGCAGGGAGGAAGTGATCTCAGGGCAGCGGATGGAGGTGAGGTCCGTGGCCTGGGGCTCCGTGCAATTTAGAGAGCAGTTCCTATGCGTCAGTGGATGGCCGCCGGGCGGCTTGGCGCGGCGTGGCTGCGTCATATCGCCAAGGTGTGCCTGCGTCAATAACCTCGCATGTCCTCGGGGAGCTGAGTTTGATTTGTGAACTACCTAAATACCCTTAATGCCTTAATATACTGAACAAATTGGGTGGTAGTATTGGTCAATCCGATGCGTTGGTTCACTAAAATGGATGGCCCATATATCTTAGATGTACCGTAAAAGGTCTCTCTAACTCAGCAAATTTGTCTATGTGGCAATGAGTTAATAAAGAGAGAGATAGTTCTAGTAACTTAGCTAGTTACAGTAATATCACATCTTCTAATGCAATATGAGTCTATAACCTAATAAATGCAGCTTTGCATGACACTACACGTAAGTTACTACCCACTATGAAGATAGTAATATAACTTAGGGATATATGTATGTTACTCTTCATTGTGGCTAGTCTAAACGCATGCAGGCCATACGTGTGTGGCCATGGGCTGGCTAATTACTCAATTAGCTCTTAATCTTACTGCATAATTAACCCATGTATAACACATATGCATGCACGTAGCAGCTCGTACATACCACTAAAAAAAGCTCGTACATGCACCAATGCATGTACGTATCTATTTCGTATAAGTGCACTTTGTCAAGATTATTCTAATGACACGGGAAAACATTTTTCCTTTGATAACTATATGATGGCTTGACATTTTCTTTATATATCGCCTTGCGTTATATTATTTTACAAGAGCATTACTGTGCCAATATTTTCTTTGCCGTGACAAATTATGCTCTTAGATATGATATAATATTTTGGCAGTATCAGGGTCGTCTATGAAACTTTGAATTTGCGTCAATTTTGGAATTTCGCCGTTAATGATGGCGTATGTGTATGAAAGTCATATGTCCTCTAATTAGAGGCAACAGTCGGCATCCTCTCCTAGCGTGTTCGTTCAAAAAAAAAGAGATCATCACCGGAAGCTCGATGCAATGATCGGCACCGGAAGCCCGAGGCACCGATCGGCACCGGAAGCAAACAACGCGGAAGCACATGGTCAAAGTGAAGCACGGATGGAGGCACCTGCGTTGTACAGGGCCTTTAACATCGTGCATGTCACAAATTTCTTCCCTTCCATAAAAGAGTGTCTGCTCCCACAGGGCTATTTTCGGCGAACCTCCTCCACGCTTCAAGCTCCGCCGCAGCCTGCGACCAGTGAACGAGCAGAGCTCGCGCGGGGGCGGGGCGGCAGTGATGAGTGAGCCAACCACCACGCACCACGGGCGAGCGCAAGCGCAAGGGGCAAGAGCCAGAGTGCGAAACGCGGAACCCAAACCAGGCGGCCCCCGGATTTGAAAACTCACGAGGGAAGGGAGCCAGCCATTTGCCTCGAACCCCGCGGGGAATCCCCATGCGGAAAAAACGCCAGGAGCGGCCTCCCCGCGCCTCCCACCCGGCGCCTGCCACCTTGCGCCCGCGCGGTTGGCCGCGCCCGCGCGCCCTCGGCATCGCCCCGTCGGGCGCTGGCTCCCCACCTGCGCCCATTCCAGAGCTCGCCCGCCACTTGGCGCCGCGCCCCCGTCTCCGCCCACCCATCCCGCCCATAAATGCGCCCCGCGCTGCCCCAACCCTAGCCGCCTTGACCTCCCCCTCCTCCCCCCGGCTCGCCGGCATGGCCGCCATCA